CACACACACACACACACACACACACACACACACACACACACACACACCCACCCCCCCCCCCCCCCCGGGCTTCTGTTTACCTGCAAGGTCCCGTCGGACGAGGAACTTCGTTCCAAAATGCTTCCCGCGGCGGGGATCCCCTGAGACATCCTGGCCGAAGAGAAAGAGGAGCTTGGACGGCCCTGTCAGGAGGCCAAAGGGCGCCTGAGGTACCGGAGAACACAGCGCAGCCACAGCAGGAGCCGGGACGCGTGTGTGTGTGGGGGGGGGGGGGGAAGGGGGGGGGCTCGCTGCGCCCGCCACCGTCTAAGCGGAAAGCCCAAAGAGAGGCATCCCGGACGCGCGTGCTGCCCTCGGCGCTTGCCCGACACCTGCCGCCGCCGCCGCCGCCGCTGTTCGCCTGCTTCCCCAGCTGCTCTTCTCGAAGCGAGCGCTCGGCGGCCGGGAAACCCAGGAGCCGCCGCTTTCGCCCTGCCCGGCGCCTCAGATCTGTTTAACCCAAGTTCATGAAAATCACGTGGCGGCCCTTGAAACTTCAGGAGGGAACTGGCAGCGAGACCGGGAGGCGGCCTTTGGCGGAGCCCAGCCCGATGGGGAACTGAAAAGAAGAGGGGCTTTTCCCTTCTTCCGCCCCGCTCGCGGGCTGTGGGGTTTTGGGGTGGCTTTCGAGCCGGAATCCGGCTCGGCTGATGGTCGGGCAAGTCCAAAGAGCTTCCAGCGTGGCCGTGGGAGCTGTTCGTTCTCTCGCTCGTCTTTCCTCGTTTAAAAAGGCCGCGCTTGTAGGCGGGTATTTGACAGGGGTCGCCAACCTTGTCCACTTTTAAGCTTTGCTGGCTGGGGAATTCTGGGAGTTGAAGTTCTCCAGGCTTAAAAGTGGACAAGGTTGGCGACCCCTGGACTAAAGAGAGCCGTGCTTGCGGAGACTAGGAGGCGGAAACCGGGACCAAATCCTAAACTAGCTGGTAGGCAATTGCCTCTAGCGTTACCACTGTAAAAGAAAGGGGGGTCGCCGTTGTTACACTGGAGCGTGGAAGTGACAGGAGGCCTGTGCCATGCTGTCTGAATCCCACCTTTTCACGAAAAGTGAAAAAAAGTACCACTCAAGGAGCCGCAGTCTGCATTTAAAAGAATGACCCGCGCAAAATAAACTGGATTAAGCTGTATTATTAGCTCTAAGTTAGCTAAAAATTTCGATTAAAACCCTAATTGTCCCACTTTTATTGTGAACTAACTTTACTTCTGTAGAAAGTTAAACTGTAAATTAATCTAAAGCAGGGGTGTCCAACCTTGGCAACTTTAAGCCTGGAGGACTTCAACTCCCAGAATTCCCCAGCCAGCTTTGCTGGCTGGGGAATTCTGGGAGTTGAAGTCCTCCAGGCTTAAAGTTGCCAAGGTTGGACACCCCTGTTCTAAAGTATAACATGAACTGGGAAATGGATAGTTTTGATTATAGCTTATCTAATTGGATGTATCTCCTTTCCTTCAGAAGCTCAAGATGAAGTCCCTATCACTCTCTTGCCTTTTCCTCTCAGTCTTCTACAGGATAAAGCTGAGTTGAGAGAGAGGGTGACTATTCAGCTATGGAAACCTCGAGCTTTGATCTCTGCGATTTAGTCCATCATTAACCAATACACTGATTTGCATTTTATTAGATGCACAAGCTTGCAGGTGAAATGTCTGATGGACAAAACATGCTTTGAAAGGCATAAAACGTGAAAAAGGTGTCATAAAGAAAAAAAATATCACACACTTTTTATTTGCTGCTCAACTACCCTTGGAACCTTCAACGGTTGCAGAGTTGTTAGGCTGCTTCTGAACCAAGCTTAAGAGTTGTTGGATATCCTAGAAGTACATTCAAATTCTACATGGAAAATTGCCTTGTGCAGTAAAGCCTTAACACATTTACTTCTGTAAGTTATACTGGCCTGCAACAACTGCTGAATTTCAAACAGGAGTTTCTCACAACCCTACTTTAAAGGTATCAGAGACAACTGAGCAGCTTTTGTATGCTATGTGGATATACTGTGAAAAATGCAGTTCGAATTGGGCTCAATTCCTGATTTCATGGGCCATGTAGTTTTCTTGGCAGAAATATGGAAGTGGTTTGTCACTGCCTCCTTCAAAGAAGTTTTGACTTTCTAATCCCACCTACCGACTCGACTCATATGCCTGATTTTATCTAGACTGTCTTTCCCAGACTGAGCAAAAAAGGACCACTTCCACATTTAGTTAGAATAACAGAATTTTAAAACGTTACAACTGTGTTTTGTAAAACACAAAAGGATTTTTGCACTAATCTATAACCTTAAACTAGAAAAGCATGAATATAAAAGACAGCTGCAATGGATTTTGAGAGCAGAAAGAACTATTCTCCTTTGTCTTTTATATAATAGAGATCTAGGTTCCATTCATCATAGGCTAGCACTGAGACAGACTTTTATAAGACACTTGATAATTGTCACTCCATGTTCTTTGTATCAAGTACCTTGGAGAGAACCTGCCTGTCTCAAGGTTCAACATCATGGGCAAATAAAATTTTATTCCTGACTATTGTCAAGAAGCCATTAAAAACAAAATTCATTTAATGGGATATTGAAGCTTAGTTAGTTAGTAATGGAAACCAAATTCTATACTCTGTTCTACTCACCATTAAATTGCAGTCTTTTTGTTGTTGCTGGAGCTCTGTGTACCATAACTATGAAGACGACATGCATATAGGGATTAAGCAACCAGTTTAATTATGTATCCATCTGAGCTATATTAAGAAAACAACCAGACGCCTTCTGATGCAATGTCGGTTTACAGTCAAGTTAAAAATATAAAGTTGAATGTTGTGACATTTCAAGTGAAGAGATATTTTTAAGCCTTAAAAAAAGGACTGACTTCTAAGTCAGTCAAATAATGGCACAATTAAAAAACAGACTTCTCTTGTATAAGTCATTTAAAAGTGTACTGATTTATCTTTCCTGAATTTCCAAAGAATCCTCATTACCTACCTGCAGTTGGAATTTATAGTGCTCTCCCAACCATAGGCAACATTACTCATCTCAAAATGATACACACACACACACTTCCTTGTTCAAATAGCACTGCCTTGCTTCCTCTTACTTTCTTCTCCCAGCTTTGAAATTCCTTGTTATACTTTACAAAACTTAATATATACTCCCATACTTCTGCTGTTATAAAAACTAAAAGAAAGTCATCTATCGATGTACAATTACTCTTTTACATTCTTCTGAATTTTATAGTCAAGCTGCAATGCTTCAGAGTACAGTCATCTGAAAGCATTTACATTTTAAAAAATCCAACAACATGGCTATAAAAAGAAGGTCCTCTGAAATACAATACAGTATATAACCTCGTTCTTGCACAATTCAGTGACAATTACTTGCAAGTACGTTTAGGACAGCAGAATGATTGATATGAAGAGAACTTGATTTTAGAACTCAAAACTTTTACTTTTAAGGTAGGCTAATTATTGTAACAGTCATAAAAGATCATTTAGCTGTTTAGATTTAAACAGCTAAATTTATTTTTTATTTAAAGGAAACACATGTTTATTGCTTTACAAATAGAAAAATGCCTTTCAAAATTGTAAGCTAATAGAAGATTCAGATCTTAACATTAAATTTAATGCTCACATAGTGGGGAAGTCCATTAGTTAAGAAATAATAGTGAGTCACAGTTTCATTTTAAAATAATCTGAATATTTAGGAGAATTAGCCAATTCTGTTAATGATAGTTTTATTATTGCCTCCTAATTTCAGGAAATTTCAGGAAAATTAGCAAAAAATGGAACAGCATTTAAAGCAACAAGAGGTTCTGAAAGACACAGCCACAAAATACTAAAATCATCTTCATTTTTGTATATATAGTAATAGAACTAAACCAATTTAGAAATAGAGGTGGGGGGCCAGAGGAATGGAGATGGATCCCTCTGTAGAGATGTTTGCTGATGATACAATAGTCATTGGTCTCAGCCGGAACAATTTGGAGATGAATATGCTTAAAACTGTAGAGATGAGTGTGGATTTTAGGAGAAGCCCTCTTATTCTACCACCTCTTACTATATTAGACAACGTGGTATCAACAGTAGAGTCCTTCGTTTCTATAATCTCATAGGATTTGAAATGGACACCTAATATTAGAACCATCACTAACAAGAATATAACTGTCTGGTTTTGGTACAGCAACCAAACAGGATTGCATAGTTAGGACTGCATACTCACAGGTGCTTTTTTCAAAAGGCAAGTGGACTTTCTGGTTTTTCTTTGAAGACGTTTCACTTCTCATCCAAGAAGCCTCTTCAGTTCTGACTGGATGGTGGAGAATGGAAGGATTTATACTCCTTGCAGACAGCGATTGTTAAGGCCACCTGGAGGTTTATCTGTGTTATCAGGGTCACCTGAGTGGTGCAAATGGGTGTGGAGCTTTCTGGAACTGTTGAAAGGACTGTGTTGTAGATTGGAGATAGATGATGTCATATTCCTACCCCTCTGTTGAGAGTGGGTTGTTCAATTTTAACATAGATGGCCTCTTTGACCCCTCTTTCAAACCAGCGGTCTTCTCTGTCCAAAATGTGGGGTTTGCTGTTTTCAAAAGAGTGGCGTGTGTCTCTTAAATGCAGATAGACTGCTGAATCTAGTCCTGATGGGTTTGTTCTCCTATGTTGTGCCATGCATTTATGAAGTGATTGTAAACATTGAAACGAAACGTCTTCAAAGAAAAAACAGGAATTCCAGCTGCTTCTTGAAAAAAGCAACTTTGGGGCAACCATGACCTGGATGACTGAGAATCTCCATAGATATTTAAGACTGCAGATAATACTATTGCAGCCAGCCTGCCTTCCATTACGACCTGTATACTGCACAGGTCAGAAAGAGGGCTGAGAAAATATCTACAGACTACTCACATCCACTTCAAATCCTTCCCTTGGGACGCCGCTAAAGAGCACTGCATGCCAAAACTAGTCTTTTTTCTTTGTGCCATTACTCTATTGAACACCTAATTCCCACAGTACTGCCTTATGTCTATTTAACCACATAGTTTGGCTGTTTTACTTTTATTCTTTTCAACTATTCCATTACCTTCTTATTGGTATCATAATTATGATTATTACTTTAATATTGTTATTACTTTGTTGTTTTCCATGTACACTGAGAGTTTATGTGCTGGAGACAAATTCTTTGCATGTCTATCACACTCGGACAATAAAGCTATTCTATTCTATTCTTTTAATGGTTGAAGTGTTTTACAGTTCATTTTGCAGCTGAGAAAGAATTAGTTTTATCCTTTGATCAGTAGATCCTTGTAACAAACCTGTTAGTCTCCTGTTTAAAATTAATGGAAGATCCTCGTTTTTGAGAAACCTATATTCATAGGTGCCAGGGTAGCTAAGCCACTATTTGAATCCTGGCTACTATATTGTATTTTTATTAAATAATTTTGGAAAACATATTCATTAACCTTGATTATATAGCCCAGTTCTCTTATAACTTAGTTATACTTGAATTCTAAATTCTAAGCTGTTTTAAAAAGAATAAATAATCAGAAATTTTAAAAAACTACAAGCAATATATTCCCTACATGTATTTTTGCCATTTTCTTTCCTTCAGGATGTTTTTCTTCAAGAAATAATGAATTCCTGGGGTTGTTCTTTTCATTTTTTAAATCATTTTTTAAAAATCAATTGGTTGCTCTTTTTACCCTTTTTTAATATTAATTTTATTTTATCCGAAATATTAAAATACAAACTCCAAAACAGGAAAACGGCAATACAAATACAAAACACAACTAGGTAAGTTTACACAAAAATGTGCATTAAAAACAACCCCAAAACAGACATATGTAAATTGTCCCATGAATACTGATAAATACTGTATATTTCAAATATTATACCTCCTCTCCCATTGCGAAGCAGGCACACAATTTATAAATTTCTACAACTCTGTTTACCCAACCCACTTGGCCTTACATCTATTTACTAGGTGGAAACATAGTTAAGAGTTACATTTCAAATCCCTCACTTAATAGTCTAGCAGGAAGTTCACAACTGGCTTCTGATCTACCATAAATCACCATAATAATCATCTCTGGTCTGAGAGGATTAAATATCCTTGATTCTTAATGTTTTTCCTTTAAGTTATTAATTAGAATCTTTCCTAACAGTTGGATCCCCCCCCCCCAAAGTCATGTCTTTGTTGTATATATCTCCACAGCATTTGCTGTTCAAAGCGTCTCCTGTAAGTTGTAATTCAACATCTCTTAACATTTGTTTTCTGATTGAAGATGATAAATTCATTCTCCAATCTCCAATCTGTTTGAGAAAATTGAGTTCATCCCTGGACAATTCTATCCAGTCTGTCTTTAAAATCCATACCTCTAACCAACTTGCATTTTTTGAAGCAGCTTCATTCCTTCAGGTCTGCTGGCAGCAAATTACATTCCAATCCAACTGGTTACTTATATTTTGTTATCTTCTTTGAGATGGTTGAAAATCACTGTTATTTTATCAAGCTTTTTATCCAAATATTCAAATTGGGCTTGTAAATTAAAAAATATTATTTTTTGTCTTGATATATTGTTTGCATTTTGAGTATATTTTGATATAGTCCAGGATACTTCAGTAGCTAAACTTTTGCAGCTGAACTTTTACAGCCAATTACAAAAAGCTCCTCTCAAAAGACAGGAAAGGCACCATAGCAAATTAGTTCTGAAAGACATAGAAAAGAACTTCCCCAGCAAAAAAAAAAAAAAAGAGATTTTCATCAAAAAATTAAAAAAAGACCGGACCTTTAAATTTTTTTTTACAAAAGTATAAAATCCCTATAGTGAAAGTTTGATAGAAATGTAAATCAAATCAGATCTTTTTCAGAGTCTGCTGTGGAAGAAGCGGACATGATTTATAACAATAAAACAATAAAAAGAACATTAAAAAAAGATCTAGCAGATTAAATTAGATCAATATTCAACAGTCGATTAACATTTAAAAGTAAAAATCAAAAGAAAATATCAAAACATGCTATTAAAACCCATGCCTTCTTAACACAACAGGCAGCTGGAAGGAAAAGATGGCGGCCCAGCCCTCCAATCACTCCCACTGAAAATTGCCACTTTCTAGGTCCTCTTCTCAGGTAGGTCCACAGTCATCTGAGGGTCATCTTGGGCCATTCCTAGTAGCTCCCATTCAAATCCAGGAAGCATGCTGCCAAAGTGCCAGCTTTGGTGGTGAAACCACCTGTCTGTCAGCAGGGAGAAAAAACAAAAACAAAACTCCTGCTGGTTCAGAACGCTGTCTTGGGGGTGGGGTGGGCGGTCAACTAAATATTGATCCTTTGGCTGTAACAGGAATTGACTGAATGGCTTCTCACCTGAGGATGATATCAAAAGCTGAGAGAGAGGCCCAAAGTCACCAAGCCGGCTTTAATAGCTAAAGTAAGATTAGAACTCACAGTCTCCCCGGTTTCTAGCCTGGTATCTTAAACACTATCTCACTCTCATCTTTCAGAAACAATATATTTGCAGTAAATTTAATAAAAAAAGAGAAAATGATATAATGTTGATTTTGAAAAATTTATAGATCACAATTACAAAATGAAAAGGCATTTGGCATTCAGAAACCCAGAAGGAACTGAGTTTTTAAAAACTTAAGGGAAAATACTGGTAATTTATAACACAATTCCAATAATTCCCAGTCCAAAATTGCTTCTGTCTAGCTCTCCTTGCATATATATTGCTTAAGCAAGCCTATTAGAATCTATCATATTGCTTGCTTACTGTATGCAATTCAAAATACAGTCTAATTTGATTTAGAAAAAGGACATCTAAATATTCAAAACCAAACCATTACAAAAATATGTTACTTTTCACAAGAATATAAATGTAAAACCAATTTCAATTGAAAACCCCTTATTATAAAACTAATTTACTACTGGTAGAACTGTGCAGTTATATTCTGGACAAAATGGTTTTTAAATAATATATAGATTAGTAACCTTACTATTACTATATCTTCCTGAGTTATAGATTAATGCCAACTCAATTAGTCCTCTTTTAATTTGCATACCACGGAAATCAGCAAAATAAAACAAAACATCCACTATTAATAGTTTCTTGGGAGCACAAAATTTGGTGTTTCTTTGCAGCTTGAATATTTACTAAATGGTGATGGATAAATGGTCATACTCCCAGCCCCCCCCCCCCAAATTACCAGAAGCCCTGTCATGACTCAGGGAAAAGGGAACACAGGAAAGAGGAGGTACAGGTAGTCCTTGACTTACAACCACAATTGAACCCAAAGTTTATGTTGCTAAGTGAGATATTTGTTAAGTGAGTTTTGCCCTATATGGCAACCTTTCTTGCCACAGTTGTTAAGTGAATCATGGCAGATTTAAGTTAGTAACATTGTTGTTAAATGAATCTGGCTTTCCCATTGACATTGCTTGTCCAAAGGTAACCAAAGGTGATCACATGATCCTGGGACCCTGTAACTGTCATTAATGTGAACCAGTTACCAAGCATCCGAATTTTGATCATGTGAGCAACAGTCGTGTGAAAAGCGGTCACAAGTCGTTGTAACTTTGAACGGTCACTAAATGAACTGTTATAAGTCAATGACTACCTGTGATGACCCAGGAAGCAGCACACACGTAATAAATTCCCAAACGTAAATAAATTTCCTTTAATGCCTCCAACTTGGCCTCACTGTTCAATTGTTCGCAGTTGGAGATTAAACTCTTTCCAAAATAGTCTCCAAATGAAAGAAATACAGTCCAAACTCAAAGAACAGATAATGGAGAAATCAAAAACCAAAACAAACCGCACTGAAGGAATTTCCACGACAGACCAGAATAATTAATTACAACCTTAAAGAAGATAACAAGGTACAGTCGGTTGGAAGAATGCCAACCAAGATAAACCTCAGCCAGAAATAACTCACTTTGCTTCTAGCAACGCTGTGTTTTAAATGCCCCTCCTTTATACTATTCCCTCCCCAGCTGCACCAATGTGGGGGATCATGGCCATTTCATCTCCCGTAAGCCACATTGTTCCCTTCTCCGTTCCTCCCTGCATGTCTTAGGATGAAGAGGGGATGGGCCTGGGTCTTCCTCTGACTGACCAGCTGGCCTCTGTCCTTCCCCAGCCTCCCTCACAACCTCTGGAGCCACACTTCCACTCCATCAGCTGTTCCTCCTCTCCCTCGGAGTCAGTCTCCAACAGGGGCATGACACTACCTGTATATTAGCACCGAATACTTTTTCCTCATTAGTTTTTAGACTTTAGTGAAGACACAATCTGCAGCTAAATACTTTAATTTTTAACCCCAGCCTATAGCTACAATGAACATATATAGAAATTGAGCTCATTAAAAAATTATACTGATCTAGAAATCCACAGTTACAGGGAACTAGATACTATGTGCATCTAAAGGATTTCAGTTCTCTGAAATTCCAGTTGCAGATGCTCTGCTCATAGTTCTTTTAAAGTTTGACTCAGTAAGAATCTTTGCTATGGAAATGTACAATTTCATGGATCAAGAGCATAGATAATGCTCTTACCTAATGTTTGGAGAAATTACTATTCAAGCAATTAAGCATTAAAGCATTCATAAACAAGTGAAAGTCCTTGTAGAAGATCATCCTGCTGTAATATACTGTAGGCAAATTTAGTTTCAAAGAATAATGTTCAAATTTAATAATATGCTTAAGTATTTTACAGAGTAGCTATATAAAGGGATCCAGTATCGAACTTCATCACTATCAAACAAAATTTGTTTGGTTATATGGATTCGAGGGGATCACTAAGGATGCTATATAAACAAACAAACCAAAAAAAAATATCAAAGGCTATGCAATGATCTCTCCAAAAAAGTGTTCAAGTATCATGACTAAGTTTTCTTTGTCGGAGTGGGTAGCGTCTCTGTGGAGAACACGACGATCTCTTTATTTTGAGTACAACAGAATTACTGATAGCAGTTTGTGAAGGTATAACTTCCACTTGTGATGTAAGGTTTTTGACATCGTTTTTATTCTCTTTTTCAACTTCAGAGACAAACATGATTTCTTGATGGAGTCTGCACTGTTCCAAAGTTTGTTGTAAAGACAATGCTTTTGAGAAGCCTTCTGCTCTTTCCACAAGGGATGACAGGGACTGGAGATGGCAGGAGAAAAACAAAAACAATCCCAGATTATTCAAATTGAGCTATTACTAGTACTCTTGGAGTACTAGAATTCCTAAACCGCTTTAATGAATTTTAACAATAGTACATTAAAATTTAATTCATATGTGATATGTTTTACAACTTTTCCTAAAACCACTTTGTAATTTCAATACGCATTTAAAAGGACTGAAATTTTGGGAGTTGTAGATTCAAAGCATACCTAGATGACACTAAGTACACCAGACAAGTTCTGAATAGATCTATTCACTTGAAAAATAAAGAGACCCCTATAGTTTTTTTTTCTTAAAATAGTTAATGAATCATGTTTTCACAAGTGTCTTATTGCTTGGCAACAAGTAAAAGTTAGGAATTTGTAAAACTATGCATTCCCTGGAAATGGATATTTGGAGACTGGATTTTAAGTAGAACACCACCTGGAAAATACACTTCTGGAAAGACACAAACCTTTCTAGAACTAGCATATCATTGCATCCCAGAGAATAGTGAAACATTTGAGGACTGGAATATGTAATTTTTCACGTAGTTATATTTCCAGCTTATGAATGCTACTAATTTGGACCAGACTTTTTGTACTTACAACTATCTTATGTCAGTTGGAGTTGAGTCATTAATGCATAACCCATTATGTCAATTAATCAACTGAATCTAGATACATCCCATTGTATCTTTAGAAATCTCACCTTAAATGATTCTGCACTATGTCTAGACATAGTTTTTGTTGAAAGTCTCAGTTCTACCATAGACTGATCTGGTAAAAAAAAAAAAAGATTCATATATTATCTGAGAAGATAAATCAAGAAAAATATCAATCTGCTGCATTGTAATGTAAAAGAGAGAGAAGAGGGGAGGAATTGATATTGAGACAGTATCATGGGCAATCTACTATTCCAAAGACACTATTTTATTCAACTTCTAAAAAGAAAAGTTCCAAAATTTTAAAAAGTACAAATGTTTTGTGGACCATGTTACTTCATTCTGCAATTTACTATCAATTTATTTTTGATAAGCAATTATATACTGCGACATTCAATGAGTTAAATATACAATCACTTCTGAAATATGCAAAACTGAAAATAAACTCTTTTCCTATCACATACATACATACTCAGATGATATAGTGCAGAGAAGTCAAACTTGATTTCATTGAGGGCTGCATCAGGGTTGTGTTTGACCTCGGGGATCGGGGTGGGCATTGCTAGGGTGGGCATGGCCAGCTCAATGTCACTTGTGTTGGGGGTGCCTGTGGCGGCCCAAGCGCTCTGCAGCAAAAATGGGCCCCTGAGCTCCATTTTCGGCTTCGACAGCCTCCTGCAACCCTCTGCCAGTAAAAATGGAGCTCGGGAGGGCCCTCCTGAGCTCTGTTTTTGCTGGCAGAGGCATCGTGGGCTAGTCCTTCACTGTTCCCAGAGCGCCCCTGTGGGCCAGATCTAAGCACCCCACAGGACGGATCTGGCCCCCGGGCCTTGAATTTGACACCCCTGATATAGTGAGATTAGGGATACTTCATTCAAATTAGGGATACTTCATTCAAAATCCATATTCAGCATGCAACTCAATTTACCAATGCTTTAGATTGGTCATACCTCCTCCTAAACCATACATAGTTGCAAAGGGATGACAAAAAATAGTTAAATAAACTAATCAGAACTCTTTGGAAGAAATGAATAATTACACTGTAAAACAAACAGAAAAATAACATCAGACTTGTCAATAAACATTGTCTTCCAGGATTTCACGATCCCTAACCTGCCAGCTTCTCCCACAAATTTCTAAAACTTCTAATATGTATTGTTGGATAAATAAAAGCTCTTGTGTATTGCAATTTCATAGTATTTTTAAACAAAGCTATACAAAGGAGCAAAAAGCAAAACGTTATTAATTTCCCATTTTAGCCTAATATTTATTTTAAAACAGATTTTCTGACAGAAACTTCTGAAATTAAACTGTTACACATATATATTTATACTGCCATAAACTATTTATCTCCTATTCTTCCACAAATTTTTCATTGCTATTGTATCTAATGTCATAAATGCTGATTTCCAGAAGTTCAACGGACGTCTTTTCGTCTTGCAGCTCTTGAACCCTAATCATCAGAATTCTGAGAGGGAAATTCCTAGAACTGCTGTATATTCAAAACTGCATAAATCCTAGATTAATCTATCTGGAAAATACTGTGTTGCGTTCTAAACTGTACAGTATATCAAATCCACATCAGTAATGAAGAACAGTAAATAGTAGTTGTAATTATAATCTCTATTAGAAGAGATGATATAAAGTACAGGTAAGTCCTTGACTTACAACAATTGAGCCCAGAATTTATGTTGCTAAATGGGAAATTTGTTACAAGAGTTTTGTCCCATTTTATGACTTTTTTTTGCCACATTTGTTAAGTGAATCACTGCAGTTGTAGCACAGTTATTAAATGAATCTCGCTTCACCATTGATTTTGCTTGTTAGAAGGTCGCAAGAGATGGTCACATGGTACTGGGACACTGCAACCGTCATAAATATGAACCAATTGTCAAGCATCCAAATGTAAACCTTGTGACCATGGAGATGCTGCAACGGTCATAAGTGTGAAAAATGGTCATAAGTCACTTTTTCCAGTGTTCTTTGAACGGTCACTAAATGAACTGTAGTAAATCAAGGATTACCTGTATGCCAAAATTATAACTGCAAAGCATTATATAAAATTAGTTTTTTAAATATAACTACATACAGGGTTTGAGGCCACAGTGAACCTTCAAGCTTTCTCTTAATATTTCTTAAAAATCACCCATACAAAATTGTCTACTTCTATACTGCTACAATATGCAGTAAACATATGAGCTAGAGGAGTGTATAGTCAATGATGGCTAACCATTTTGGCACCAAGTGCCCAAAGTGGGTGTTCGCATCCCCAGAATGCAACACCCACACACCCTGCGCATGCACAACCCTGCGCATGCACAACCCTGCGCATGCATCAACTCCCCTGTGCATGTGCACCCGACCCCCGTGCGTGCACCCGACCCCCTGTGCATTTGCCTCGCATGTGTGTGACTTCTGTGTATGCACCCCACCCCCTGCACATGCAATACCCGCGTGTTCTCCCCCACATGCGCATGTGACTCCCGCGCAGGCCACTCCCCCACGCATGCACAGCAGAGACCCAAAGACTAGCTGGCTGATGGGAGGCGCATGCGCAGCAGAGCTGAGCTGGGATGACAACTCGTGTGCCCAGAGAGAGGGTCCTGCATGCCATCTCTGGCACGCATGCCATAGGTTCGCCATCACGGGTATAGGTCAACACATCTTCTAAAAACTTCACAATATAAGTTTCCAGGGAAAAGGGAGGAATAATCAAGTAAGTTATCTAAGACTTTCCAAGGACAAATCTACATGTTCAGCAAAATACAAATTCACAAAATCTGCTTTGACTCACAAGTAACCTTTCTCAACTCAAAAAATTTGGGAAATCACTTTTCAGATAAAAACAAATGAGTACATATCCAAGCAGTGTATCTTGAGCATTGCTTGGCCCTAGGAAGGCAATGGCAAATCATTTCTGAAATCTTGCCAAGAAAACTGTAGGGCTACTTTAGACAGCCACCAGGAGTCAAAGGCACAATCCACCCCCTCCAAACCGCCCATGCAATTTTCTTCATCGGCTATATTTGTTTCTTTTTCACGAAGACCCTCAGTAAAGAATCGCAATTTGGCTGCGTATTGGGGAAGGGGGGGTTGGTTTCAAATTTTGAATTCAAAATTTTGATAAGCTGAAAAAACTCACTGCTATGAGATAAGTAGCCATATCAATTATTCAAAATAAATATACAGATAAAAAACTCTATGGCCACACCAAATGTTCAGTTTGAACCCTTTAAACCAGGGGTCTCCAACCTTAGCAACTTTAAGACTTGTGGACTTCAATTCCCAGAATTCCTCAGCCAGC